ACACAAATCGATATCGCTCTACAAAAGAGAAACTTTTCGTTTTTGCGGTTGAGTCACAGTCTGGCCTAACATTTAATTTGAGCGACGAACAAAGAAAAAGCGAAACTCCAAGCTAGCTGACATCAAACAAATCTCTAGAGTCCTGAGCTAGCATTATAACATACAATACAGTATGAATCTAACGGAAACGCTTTGACTTTAAATTTATTCGATTTCTGTTCGTTCACATTTCAACGGCTGTGTTATTCCGGAACGTAATATCATACGTTAATTTAATGCACATTATTGTTGTGGGTTTTTTTTTTTCTGTTTGTGGAATTAGCTGGATAGGCTAAGATAGGAAGCCTCCGTTAGCAATGAGGAATTACAGCGACAGGAAGTTGCAGGATGAGCAATTTGACACGAGCGGGAGGAAGTCAGGAGGAGTGTCCGCCGCCTGTCACTTTTTCAAACCATGACTTTGAATGAGGGTTGCATTCCTCAAAAACTGTATGCAAAAATGATGTGAGTCATATGCAAAACCATCATATGATGCTGTAGCTAAAAAATCTTAATCGAGTTCACACAGATGGTGTTTATTGTGGCGCATCATTCGGTGGTCAAAAGGGGGCACACTATGCCAACAAACAGAGACATTTAGTGTAGCTACGTCTAATATTACTGTTTTTAGTAAACCCAAATTACTCGTAATTCGTATATTATATACATTAGCCTACAGATATAGCTACTCGTTGTATATTAAAAGTTCAGGGTCGGTAAGATATTTAATGTGTTTTAAATGTGTTCTCTTATATGACATAATAGGCTACAAAACAGTAAAATTGTGAAAATATTGTTTACTGTTTTCTATTGTTTCATTAGAGTCAAGTATTTTGTTGACTCTAATGGAGAAAACATTGATATGAATAAATTAGTAAATGATTTCAATAATTTCTTTGTAAATGTTGGTCCTGATTTAGCAGCTAAAATTCCTAACCAAGAATTGAAGTTGAACACTGAAAGAAATGACTGTACTATTTTCCTCTCTCCTGTCAGTGAGTGTGAAATAATGAATATTGTTCAAAAATCCAAAAACAAGTTATCTAAAGACTGTCACTCCATCGATATGGCACTAATAAAAAAGACAATTAATAGTATCATAAAGCCTCTAACACATATCTGTAACCTGTCGCTTAAAAACGGCTGTGTGCCAAGAAAAATGAAAATTGCTAAGGTTATACCATTGTTCAAAAATGGAAATAGGAATCACTTTACTAATTACAGACCCATTTCTCTCCTTCCCCAGTTTTCAAAAATCCTTGAAAAGGTTTTTGACAAACGGTTGGAAATTTTTACATATAAGCATAAGCTAATTAATGAAGGACAATATGGGTTCAGACCCAACAGATCTACTTCGATGGCCATAATTGACGCCACAGAAGAAATATCGAAGGCTCTAACAAACAAAAAACATGCAATAGGAATTTTTATAGATTTCAAAAAAGCTTTTGATACCATTAATCATGATATATTACTTAAGAAATTAGAACGATATGGAATACGGGGAGTTGCTGGGAAATGGGTGAAAAGTTATCTGAGCGACAGAGTACAGTTTGTTCAAATGGGTGAGTTTTCTTCTGGATGTCTTGACATTGCTTGTGGTGTCCCGCAGGGGTCAGTATTGGGCCCCAAATTATTTAATTTATATATTGATGATATTTTCAATGTTTCTCAATTGGTTAAATGTGTATTGTACGCTGATGATACAAATATTTTCTATAGTAACGATAGTTTGGAGCGACTGATTAGCGTTATAAACAAAGAACTAAGTAAATTTAAAAAATGGATGGAAAGTAATAAATTATCATTAAACCTAGATAAATCCAAAGTGATGTTTTTTGGAAAGTATCAAGCTGATTCGCAGAAAATGGTTGAGATAGATGGAGTACACATTGAAAATGTTCAGGAAATTAAATTTTTAGGTGTAACGATAGACAACAAGCTAAGTTGGAACGCCCACATCAGACATATAACAACTAAAGTCTCCAAAAGCCTTGCCATAATAAGTAGAGTTAAGCATATCCTTGATTATAATGCACTCCATACCCTGTATTGTGCTTTAATACAGCCATATCTAACCTACTGTGTAGAGGTATGGGGCAATAATTACAAAAATGTAATACAGTCACTTTTTTTGCTACAGAAAAGAGCGATACGAATTATACACAAGGCCGCCTATTTCGAACACACAAATCCTCTCTTTCTCAAATCTAAGCTATTAAAAATGAAGGATCTTGTAAAATTATATAATGCACAGTTCATGTTCAAAGCGTATCACTATTTATTACCTGTGAACATTCAAAATATGTTTTCTCATAAGGAGCAGTCGTACAGTTTGAGAGGATTTGGAAACTTTGTGCTCCCAATGGCGGGTTCCACCAGGAGGAGTTTTTCTATGTCTGTTTGTGGGGTTACTTTGTGGAATAATCTGGGGCTTGAATTAAAGCAGTGTCAAGGCATTCACAATTTCAAACGTCTTTACAAACGAAAGGTCTGGTTCCATTACAATGACAATGAGGTTTGATTGTTTCATGTTGTGTGGATTGTTGGATTAGTTGTTATTTATTTACCCTTGTGGTATTCCATCTACCATTGTTGGTAGTTGTTCGTCATTATGTACTCTTGTAGTATTCCATCTACCATTGTTGGTATTTGATAATCATTGTTATGTACCCTTGTGGTATTTCGTCTACCATTGTTGGTATTTGATAATCTTTGTTACCTGTGGATAATCATTGTTACCTGTGGAATTATCGGTATATTATTAATATGTATGGTATGAATGTATGGTTTTGACCCGTGCAACCACTGTTTCTAAATGAGGTATTATTATTACTATTATTATTCTTTTTTTTATTTTTTTATTATATTATTTTCTCTTTGAGATTATTGCTGAAGGAAGCAGCCTTTATTTGTTTGTATAAATTCTTTTATAGATTGGGGTGGGGTTTAATAAGTTTTACTTCTTCCCACTCCATTTTCAAGCATACGTGTATAATTTGTTATTATTGTGTATCTTTTCTGTTGTCACACTATTTTGCTTGAAATAAATAAATAAATAAAATAAATAAAATAAAATATATGACATAATAGGCTACAAAACAGTAAAATTGTGAAAATATTGTTTACTGTTTTCTATTGTAATATATTTAAAATATAACTTAATTTTGTGATGGCAAGGCTGGCTTTTCAGCATCCTCTCATCAGGATACTCTTCTTCAGTGTCAAATTATCCTTCAGAAATCATTCTAATATGCCGATTTGCTGCTCAAAAATATGTATTATGCAGTGCAGCTTAATGTTTTTGTGGAAACAATGATATTTATATATACATTTTTTTTTCTTGAGCACTAGAAAGTTTAAAAGAAATGAATGAAATTAAAAATGAAATGGAAGTGGGGTGCAGCACCCCTGTTTTCACAGGATTGTAAATGCAACGCAAATTTGTATTGTTAGTTATTATATTAAATTATGTTCCACCATCAAATCCACCGTCAGTGTTGTGTAAGCTAGGCACTAGGCAGGTTTTTTGTGTTAATTTCTATTTCCTGTTGCTGTGCAGGCTCTTTTATTGTATGACACTGTAAACAGCTCAATAACCCTTTTATTTTTAAATGTATAGCCTACAGTACGTGGGACATATGGTAGCATCGCAATCAAGTGACACGATTCAGGGAGGAGTTTTAGTAGAATGGCTGTGCATCTGTTGAAGAGATAGTCTCTCTGCTGCATGTAAACACAAAACAGTCCCACCCTGCCATACTGATACCTACCAACTGCTGTTAACAACATGTCCATTGAGGCATGACATGACAGAAGCGAGGTGACCCTACATTCCAAGGGCTGAGGGTATCTGAGCCCAAGCAGCCCATTAAAATTGATGCGCTGTCAGGTGAGGCTGAGCCCAGATAGCAAGAAAGTGTAGATATCTGGTATAATCAGTCTGCAAAGTTCTCATATGGGCAAGGGGAGCTTTGACTGGGAGTAGTGTTTGCACTGAGTAATGATAATGATGTTTAGTAATATTAACAGGGACAGTACAGAAGTCAGACCAAATATGAAAAGGCCTATAATTTCTCTTTTCTAGTGCCTTTCATTTTCTGAACCAGCTTCCATTAATCATGGGACTGATATTTTCCATGATTAACATCTGGTTGGTTTAAATGATTATTGAACAATGCCAAGTGTTCCATTTGTGAAATGCAAGCAGTGAGGTTCTGTCTGCCAACTTGAAACTTTCCATCTCCATTTTTGGTCCTTTTAGTCTGGAATCTTTTCATACTGCATGTTTATTACAGCAGTTTTTATTGGATGGTGGAGTGAGGGATCAATTGAAGCTAACAAGCAGGATATTTTCATGAGTCTTTTTGACAGAACAATAATACAGACATTGGTGTTGAAAATGAGTTAAAGATAATCAAAGACTGTAATTTTAAAACATGACGTTGTTGTGATTATCATCTAACATGCAATATTTAGGTGAAATAACTTCCTGTAGAGCAAGATATTTTCTTAAAAATGTTTATTTAAAGAGACCCCATTAACATTATATCTCATTAACATTACTCTATAATCATAATATGTCATTTACTGCAGTGTCTGTGTGACATTACAACAAACTCAGCAGTGCATTTTGTAAGTGGAGAGCAGACAGACCTTGTAACATTTCCAGATGACCATATTAGAAAGATGAAATGTTAAGCTTTAAAAAAATACATGAGGGTTGTTCATTTCATTGTTCATTTCAACATGACCTGAAATCTAAATATACCAACACCGTACAGACCTCCGAAAACTGTGGGCATGTGTAGTGCTACTGAATGCTATATATGCTATTGTACAACATGAATCTCATTCTTTCATACAAGCTAAGCTGTCTGAAAAGAGCACGTTTGCCTGTGTTGAATGCATCGCATGTATGCCCACACCATCACAACAGTCATATGCAATACTGTAGAAAATACAGTGACTGCCTGTGGGTCAAGCGTGGCAATAGATACAGGTTCAATATAATACATCATGGCTGTCAGAATTTCATAAGGCTGTTAGAGTTTAATAGGGACTAATGATCAGATTTTGTTTATTGTCGAAGTTTGCTGATTTACATAGACAGGTCTTATAAATAAATACGACTGAAAGCATGTTATTTAATGCCAGTGCTGGCTGAAGCTCTGTGGAGCAGTGCAACTTCATCTTCGTTCTTCATGTAGTAGTGAAGGCTAGACTAAAAAGCTAGGTCCACCCTATCACTTATGACAAAGACCACAGCAATATAAGGAACTCATTCATTGGTGTTAAGGATATTTGAGTTATACATTTGATAACACTGATGTGGACACCCTCAAAGTCACTCTCCGTATGAGTGTCTCTTTTTCTTTACAAAAGGGGCACTGAACCCATCAGACCTCAGGTTCTTTTACTGTACATCATTCTTCCCAAATGAGTTCTGGAAGGGTTCACATTGTCTTGAGCGGCTTTTGGTTTTCCAGTGACAGCGGAGATGAGTGATTGACAGCTGATCCTCTCTCAAGAGCAGCACCCACAATGCACCTTCGGGTTAGCAGGCCAAAGAGATTGGTGATAGGTCAGCTTTCCTCCACAGTGCCAGCAGTATTATATAAATGTATTGTATTGATTATCTGGATAGGAATGAAAGACAGAAACTTTACATTTACACAGAGTGGGTAAATGATTTATAAATTGCAATAATTACCATTAATTTAATTAGTGCTTTCAAGCAGTTGCAATGGTTAAAGGCCTTGATGCCATTGCATCAAAATATGCAAAAAGGCAGAGAGTCGATCAGGCTTAATATTCTACAGTACAATTTTTCCCTTTGCTAAGTATATGTTTCAGTTTGCACTGAAGAGTAAGAACTTTAAAGATGAGTGCCAGTGTTGTTATTTTCAGCTCAAACTAAATCTATATTTGAAATAAAGCATTTTTAAAAAAGGAAACTGAAAAAACAAACTAAAATTGGAAAAGTCGTCTTGGCAACTAACTGAAATTTATTGAAGTACTAAAATTATTAAAACTAAAACTAAGATATAAATGTATTAAAGCGGTATATAAATATAAAAAAAAAAAATGAAAAAGCACATCAAAAATACTTAAACTAAAATGTTAATTAAGACATTAATAAATACTGTAGTAAAATATAGCTGCAAGCAGCAATTATCGGGGCCAAGCACAAAGAAAACGATAAGACATGCCAACATGGCTGGGAGTGTTAGAACTTGCAACATTGAGCAATTAAAGACATTTAAAGATGATTTTAGGCAAAATGGCTGAAAAATCATATATACAGTAACTAATAATATGATTGAATGGTTTATCACTATCCCTTTCGCCGTTACGAAATTGATGTGGTGTGGTCAGAGTGAGGTGACAATGACACATACAAAGTTTGGTGTCAATATGTCAATGCATTGCAGAGATAAAGCTTTCTGAATTGAATTGAAGCCTGAATAGTCATTTTGGCATCATACCTTAACTTTGCTATATGAAAACGCTAAAGGAACTTATATGAAAACGGTTTCGTCTATCAACACGAAATCCATAACTTTTTGTCGGAACGGTCTGGAGATGATACGATTCGATTTTGGTGAAAACGGTCTAGGATGAGAAACGGTCTAGAAAGAGTTTGAAAAAGTAGGTATTGAATGAAAATCAAGATAGAAAATAAGTTCGGCCAAATATGGTAAACTTGGTATCTGTTCTCGGAGTGACCCAAGAGATCTATAGTAGTTTCATTGCAATAGGCTAATTTATTCATAATTTATTCGCATTTTTGGAAATTTAATTATAACTTTTGACCAAAAGGTGGCGCTGCCCCAAAACATTTTGAGTACTTGGAGGGCATGGTGCCGAAGACACATACCGAGTTTCGTAATGGTACACCAATGCATTCGTAAAGTGTAGCATTTAATATCATGAAATTATATTGTAATTAATGGCAATTTCCTTGTTTTGTTCTATTACAGAGTGAGCCCATACATAAGCGTGCGAAACATATCTCATTTCGTTTAGGAGTTATAGACATTTATATGTATGAACACAGAAATAATGACACACACCTGACTTTGAATGGATTTTTTTACCACTTACTATCAAAATTTTGACATTTGGGCATTGGTGTTTAGCCAGCGATTTATGTTTCCGACTTTCCTAGGGTGGTTTCATCTCGATCGGCCTAATGGTTTCGAAGATATTTGCAAAAGTTTTTAAGCACTAAATCACAACGTTGCACTAACCATAATGCAAAACCTAGCATGTTTGGTATCGTTGAACTTGGCTCGGATTCAGGAATGTAAGGAGATGACTCCCGTGAAAATAAGTCAATCACATCCAAAGTTATAAGCATGGAAATAATTGTTTTACCACTAGGTGGCGCTGGTTGAAAGAACTTCTCAGACTCTTTCAGAGCATCGTGCCGATGACCCATACCAAGTTTTGTAACGATACATTCATGGGCCAATATGGGACAATTTGATATCATTCGATTCGACATATATCGTGTTATAAACAAAAATATAAATTTTTCGTATCTCCGGACCAGTAGGTGGCACTGCTTGTGATGACATGTACTAAGTTTGGTCTAAATACGATAAAGCGTTACGGAGATATAGCCTTACGTCTGTTTTTGCAAGCGCTATGTAAAATTCGTTTGCGCGGTTTTCGAGAACGGTTGGACAAAGCATCTTGAATTCCAAGATGCTACAGAACTTTTTGTAGGCATGGTCTGAAAATGATCTGGTTCAATTTGAGTAAAAATTTTAGGTTTTTCGGAAAATTCAAAATGGCGGGAAAATTTTCATGCCGGAAAATGATGTCATAGGATGTAATCGAATCAGCTTGAGCCAAGGAATCAGAGGGGAAAAGAGTTTTGTTTCTAGCCCTTACGGTTAAAAAATTATTAGCATAAACATGAGTGCAACTTTGGGCAGTTGGTGGCGCTAGAGGATTGAGTTGGAGACTCCAAATTTGCTATGGTGACAGTTCAGACTGTCCTCTATCAGTGTGCCACATTTCATAACTTTCCCGCAAGCGGGTCTATGGGCTGCCATAGACTTCCAGAGCGGAAGAAGAAGAAGAAGAAACAGAAGAAGAAGAATAATAAGAACGCCAACGATTTCAATAGGTGCCTACGCACTTTCAGTGCTTGGCCCCTAATAAATAATATTAAAATAAGACTGATGTGTTCATTTATGAACTTCATTGTAGTCAGCAGGCTGGTACATTGCTGTTATCAGCATTTGGGAAAATGTGAAATGGGACTCACTGAACTCCACTTTGAGATGGGCCTACACCAGGCCGTCATAAAGGGAGAGTGCCTGTACAATAGAGGGGTCCCCCTTGGAGCCCTCCTGAAACTCCTGCAGAGTCAGCATCCCATCTGCATTCTGTTGACAAAAGAAATACAGTTAGTCTTAAGTCACATCATTGTTTTCAACCACAAATACTAGGTATTAAATGCTTACAGTTGGTGGCAGAACATATGCAGGGAATCAGGTAGAGACATTTTTTAAATAATGTATTCAAATCTCTTTTTTCTCTCAAGAGCTATGTGTTCTTTCAAAGGTTCTTTTATCAAAGCTTTCTGAGAGCCTCTAGAAGAGCTTCAATTTTGCAATTTTGCGTTCATGTGGTGTGCCTTCTGTGTTTCTAGTGCCTGACAAAGGACAGCTCTCCTGACAATCACAGCAAAAATAAGCCATTGTATTGAACCTATAGCTATGCATACTTAGTCGTAGGAAGTCATGGGATTGGATTGTTAAACAATGACTGAAAATGATCATAGAGTGCAACTCACTATAAATGCAGTACATTTTCCATGTTTACTTTTTAAAAAGACAACTATTTCTACAAGTAATGTTGTGCATGGGAGAAATAAGGAAGTGGAAGACACATAATATACAGCATAAACCTTATCCATCATAGCAAAGATGCGTTCGACTCTTTTCTCTGGAGTGTTTTCCTCCTCAGGTAACTCCACTGTGTTCCCCTGCAAGACATAAACAAGATGTGAACTCCTGGGACATCTGGCCTTTCACAGCAGGATAAGAAACAACCTCAGTCAGAAACATGTTACCCATTCATCTCTTTATGTGGAAAATAATGAGAACTCTACTGTATATTTTTTTATATAGAAAAAAAAGAACACGGCAATAAATATAAGCTAACTGCGTGTATTAGACCGAGTTGAAGGGGGGGAAAAACAACGCAAGCGATTTCGGGAGTTAAAATATGGCGAATTATATCAATTCATTAGCATTCAAAGGCAAAACACAATACATGGCCAAATTTAAAATGCAGTGGTCTGCTGTAAATGGAATTTTACAATAAGGTTCAATAACATTATTTTATGTATTTGTTATAATGAACTATCAATGAACAAGATTTTTTATTTACTAATGGTAATTTATGAAAATATTACTTAATAAATGTTTTAAAAGTACTGTTAATTATTATTCATCTGAAAAACCATATTGTTGTAACATGTATATTCTGTTATGTTCTGTTTTGCACGAGTTCCCAGTTATCATTAGTTTCCCTGGTTGTTGAATGAATGAATGAATGAGGCATTTATATATCGCTTTCATATGTACTACTGTAAGCGCTTTACAATCATATCAGTGTATCTCTCCTCAACCAGCACCAGTGTGCAGCATCCACTTGGATGATGCGACGGCAGCCACAGTACAACGGCGCCAGTGCGCTCACCACACATCAGCTACAGGTGGAGAGGAGAGAGTGATAGAGCCAATTCAGTGGATGGGGATTATTAGGAGGCCATGATTGGCAGGGGCCAATGGGTGGAATGTGGCCAGGACACTGGGGTTACACCCCTACTCTTTTACGAGAAGTGCCATGGGATTTTTAATGACCACAGAGAGACAGGGCCTCGGTTTAACGTCTCATCCGAAGGACGGTGCTCTTTGAGGCCAAGAGCACCGTCAGGGGGTGCTCACCCTGTGGTCTGTGTGGGTCCTAACGCCCCAGTATAGTGGCGGGGACACTATACTGGGGCGTTAGGACCCACACAGACCACAGGGTGAGCACCCCCTGCTGGCCTCACTAACACCTCTTCCAGCAGCAACCTGGTTTTCTCAGGAGGTCTCCCATCCAGGTACTAACCAGGCTCAGCCCTGCTTAGCTTCAGCGGGCATCCAGTCTTGGGCTACAGGGTGATATGGCTGCTGGCTGTTGTTAACTAGTTCCCACACCCGTTCTGTTTTACATTGATTACTCTGTGTATTTAAGCCCTCAGTTCTTTCAGTTCATTTTATATATACTCTATGTATTATATATACATGCATACATACAGCATATACACATTTAAAAAAAATGTGAGGACCTCATTTCAGAACACCACTACACGCCAATATACATCAAATGATAGAAAATTGTTTTTACTTTCAAAAAACCAAATCTACTGAAAATATCTCATCTTCATATGTCCTCATAGAAATTAATGGTAACTGTAATTCGTTTTACAGCATAGGTGATCAGTCCTCTTTGCCAATTGTATATGATCAGAACAGCATGAAAACATCTTGTGTGATCAAAAAAGCACACAATGGGTCTCATTCATGAAACATTCGTAAATATACGAGTAAATATGAGAGTGATTTGCGCGTAAAGAGACCTTCCCGAAAACTCATCTCCTGATTCACAAATACTTCGTAAACGTCAGACGTGATAGTGAAATGTTTGTGTGTGTTAATGAATTACAATCAGTCGTAAATGGGACGTGCGTGCACGCTCATTCTCAATTACCATAAATCCCGCCCATTAAATCCGACTGACAACTATATATGGGCATCATATTATGACACCAAACGAAGGATTTCTTCAACATGCCTTCTCAAAAGCGAATGAAAAAGAAAAATTTCTCAGATGCAGAAATCAAAGTTTTATTATCAGAAGTTCATTCAAAACGTCACATTTTATTTTGAAGCGTAGGCTACATAGTGGCGTATCGGGTCCTAAAGAAAGCAAGCTGGAGTGGAGTTTCATCTGTTAATCAAACAGTCCCAGAAGTAAAAAGAAAAACCGTATGTAATTACTATATATAATATTTTTTCAAAATGCTGTGTAAATATGTACCCGATTAAGGTGAATTAAAATGCATCCTTAATGAGCAAAACGTTCGGATGTTAAACTCACTATTTACGCGTGGCTGGGAGCAGGTGTAGATTTCTTTCGTAGGCTACCAACTAACATTTGGAAAATACCATCATTTTAAGGAATCCGAAAATTTACGCCAGAACCACTTTACACACTATTTACACAAAAATTCGTTCTGCTCGTGTTTCATGAATGAGACCCAATGCTATTAAGCTTCCTGGAAGCTAGTATTTGCGAAGGTAGTCATTGCAGTCTCTTTATCAATCAGATGCTCATAATCGATTTTTAGAGTTTAGGCTTTACAATAAACACCATGCTGGCCTTCCAAGAAAGCACTTTCATTTACTCAGTTGAAATAGAAAGTTACGGTTCAGCGAGAAGCATATGACTCACCACCATCTGGTAAATGGCATCTACGATGTTCAGCATCTCATCTCGGGTTATGTAGCCATCATTATCAAGATCGTAAAGCTTAAAGGCCCCTGTGATAGCAATAACAATCAAGCAGATTAAGACAACTCTCTCTCTCTAGCTGCCACATCTTCAAAAGAGCTGAGAACAACAGTGTAGCTGCTCATTGGTAAACTAATGTCAGACTTTTCTATTGATTATTCGACGTGATCATCTTTTCATTAGACAAGATGATAAATTAAAATGGAGTGGCAAACTTGTTCAGCATTCAGTGTGGGTAAGAGCCATCTTAATATAAGGCACTGAAATGTTACTCAGTCTTCAGACATCTTCTGCAGATAAATAAGCACATCTCTGGTGCAGAAACAAGAAAGCATTGAGGTTCTGACGACATTATGAGATTTATAAAGAAATTCTGGTCTTACATCTGAGTTTTTCATCCAGTGTCCCTCTAGATGTGACAGACAGAGCTTGAATAAACTCTGAGAACTCAATGCGTCCATCCTGTGGATACACAACAGAAAGACGGCATGGGAGCTGATAGGTGAAATGTAAAAAGGAGCCTAAAGGGCTGAAGCAAGGTTTGATTTTATACAGCTTTGTTACAGACTCACACCTGAGATGAAAGAGACACCAAAGATGGCAAACAACTGCAGAATGACACCGCAAAAAAACTGCAGTTAAATACAGAAGCAGCAGGGAAGGCTGTTATGTTACCTGTGACCAGCTTACACATATTGGAAATGTCATTTTGACAGTGATTCTGAAGTGTGTCTAAAGATTGTAGCACACAGTCCCACTGAGAATTTAGAAACATCTGAGAATACTATACAGGGGCATTGTCTGTCTGTCACACTTTGTTTAGTGTGTGTATAAAGCTCCTAAATGCATCATTTTTCTCAGACTCAGACAGCAAATTGTTCTACCAACAACAAAAACAAAAAAAACTCAATTCTACAAATCTGTTGAAGCTGCATTTCTGCAGCTAAAATGGAAATGCATAAATGTCCCTGTCGCTGAGTAAATTAAAGTGAATGGAGTGTTTACGCACTTTATTTTGCTGTTCAGTCAAACATCTATTCAGGGAGAGATTCTAGTGGTGATAATTTTCGCCACTAGACTCAGTAAAGAAGATAACAAATCAAAACAGTGCATATCAAAACATTTATTGTTAAACTGCAACTTTAAAAAGCCCCAGTAGGCTAATATAACAGTGCTTTTCTTTTATTGATGTTTCCTTTTTTCAGCCTTGTGTTACCTTGTTCTCGTCAAAGACGTTGAAGACAAAGGTGGCAAACTTGGTGGGGTCGCCGAAGGGGAAGAATTGCTTGTAGATCTTCTGAAAGCCAGCTGCGTCCAACTGACCACTGGGGCAGTCTTTAATAAAACCCTTATACCTGCCAAACGGACAGGAAAAATTAAATCGGATAGGAAGAGTGGGGAGGAAGGAAAAGAGAAAGAAGAAAAAAAGAGAGACTTTCATTATGCAAGGATGAACCCAAAGACAAAACACAGACATCTCTCCCCTGTGAAGATAAACTGATAGCAGTGTTACAGAACATGTGGTCAGGGCATTTCAAGACAAATTGAACCTCTGTCACTCTATCCTGTAATTTTCAGAAACAACATTTCAGCGCAGTTTATTTTCTGTATGCTAATTGATCCCTGAAAAATCCGAGGACTATCATTAGGGGTCATTTCCGAGCAATTTGGGGCAAAGGGTGAAATTGTTGCCCAGGATATTACAGTGCATGTCAGTCTTCAATTGCAAATTCATTTCATCAGTTTGGATTCTGCATTTTAGGAAATATTTGATACTAATACTTAACTTATCAAACACTTTTTAAAAACACGTATTCACAGAAAATTGTCTTTTCATTGCGTGTCAGTTTAAGTCATTGTACAAAATGGCCCTAACAATCATTATAAAAATCTCCAGCATATGTTGCGGTTAAAACACTTCATTAGCTAATTGTTCATTACCTCCTCAGAGGGGCTTTCAAAGAGACATTTTTCACATTATGCTAATTTACAGTAGCTTGATGACAGAATCCTGTCACAACATATGTGCAGCACAATTTAACAAGTAACGAGTGCTTTAAATGATCAAAAAAATAGCTCAAGAAAATCTTTTAAATTTCAGATGGGAATATATTCCATCATACCACTGTTATACAGTCACATAAACGTTTCAGACCTAATTATTACGTTTATTGAACAGCTGTCTGGAGTACTTTGCAGCATTGTCTGGTGAAATGTTTTTCTAAATTGCATATTTGACAGTTACTTCCGCAACCAATCTCTTACACAATATGTCTCCCTCCACACTTTCTTTCCTTTCACATGATAATAATCTAAACTCAAATCACTATTTAATGTATACAGTGATTTACTTGCTAGCCACAAATAATGTGCAGTGTGTCCGTCATTATCATAAAATAAATGTCTTCAGGATGACTGACAGTACATTAAAACTAGGTATCATTTAAAATGACAAATATAGTTACAAAAGTTATTCAGTCAAGAAGAGTTAGTTGATTTTCTCTTTGTTGTCATGATTCTGCCATCATGTCCTTGTATTCTTCTAGTATTGTGGCAGAATCATGACAGACCCATGTTTTATGTACAAGCGCATGGCCTGTTGTTTGGGCCATGTGCTTGTGTTGTCTTGTCTCGTAACCCCGCCCCCTTGTTATCCTTGTTTAGTCATTATTGCCTTGTTAGCGTCACCTGTTCCCCTCGTTAGTTTATTGGTATTTAATCCCCTTGTGTTTGCTGTCTTGTGTCGGTCCATTGCCTAACGTTTGCTGAATGTTGTCGAATCTGTCTATGTTGCTATACCTTGCCATTTCTTACCCGTGAGTACTTAGTGTAGAGTCTTGTCTTTGTGAACGTTTATTTGTAGAATTGTCAGTTTATTGTACAGTCATTGTCTAGTCTAGTCTGCCATCCATTCCTTGTCCTAGTCGTGTTTTTCCCCCCTCGTGGGTTTTGTTTTCCTGTTTTGTTCCAATAAACCCCCTGTTCGTTGCACTCTGTCTGTTTTGGGTTCATCTCCTTTCAGCCACGTAACATTTGTCTTTTGTTGTTGGATTAACGTTATTATAGAGACAGCAGCAGGAATATTAGGCTGCTGTCACTTTAAGAGCTGCACGGATCCAATATACTGACTGTTACACATGCGCTTTCTTTGTCAACTGTTTTACGTTCCGTTTACACAAATGAATATTTTGACATTTTTGTATGTATTTGTCCATTCAAGTGCAAAAAGACGCGGAAGAGAACTCAGCACTATACAGTGTGAGAGGGGGCTTTCTGTGCGCACGTTTTGGATGAAAATGGAAATGGTATAAAATCACTTTTTCTGTGTTTGGATGTGTCGATAAGAGGAATCAAAATTTTTATTTTATAACAAGTATCCAATTCCTGAGCCTAAATATCCGATTCAAGATTTGGAATCCATTTTCAATTCCCAACTCAAATTAACTCACATTTTTCCTGAATAATCCTCCCTAGATTCAAATATCTACTTTTAATTTAATCGGAAAGACACAAAATCAACAATGCAGCTATAATCCACAAAACTCTCCATGTGACAGCAACTCCTAGTTTTGATTATCAAAAGCACAATTCAGCCACTTTGCTTAAGAAACTGTAAAAAGTTTAGGACTTTAATCTGCTGTACAGTACATGTATTGCTAAACAAGGGAACAGAAAAATTGTGTGTCTGATACACCTCCCCTGGAATACTCTGAAATTGCCTTTGTAAGGCTTCATCTACTGATCCTCTGAGGACTCGATTAGATGGCTCAAAGGCAAGTCTACTTCTGGTATCAACAAACATACTTCTATATCATCAGAGAAATGGAAGAAGAAAATTATGCACACCTTGAGCTGTGTGTGCGCATGTGTTTGTGTGCATGTCTAGGCTTGCTGCTTTGCGATCTGATCAGCACTAGACTGAGCTCCAAGGGGCTATGCTTTCAACACAAGACCATAGTGTCTGTCTTTAACAGAGCTTTCCCAAGTGAAATGCCAGTGTATTAAGTACAGTGCAGTACATCATCTGTGAGTATAAGAATCAGGCAAGAAGTAAAGGTAGGTTGTATATTGGCTTGCTCTAACAGATAAACATAAAAATACAAGGCTTTTTAAACAGTCACAGAAGATTGGCCCACCTTTGTAAATGTCATCAAAACTCTTTTCCAATACTCTACGTACCGTTGACAGCCTATATCTGGATTGTTAGTCTCACTCTTTGATCCATGATTTGAGTTCTCTTTTCTTGCTCTTTCACTCTCTCTCTCTTCATCCTTCTCTTCTTTCCCTACTGGGCACCCTGCCAAGAGTCAACCGTTTCCCATCTGCCACGAGAGGCGTAGAGCAGCCATATGGATGTTGGCATGTGAAGTTAAGAATTTATGTGGTACTTAACATCCCCTTCCTTGGTGGCAGACATTTTCAAAATGAGCCAGTCAGTAAAGAGAGGTACGGCTATTGTTTGCTGTCAGAACGTGTCCCATGGGTCAATGATGTGTGCCATTTCTTGTCTCCTATCTATTAATATTTTGTCAAAAATACACTTGCAATTCATATATGGCAAATTAGAACTATGCACTCAATACCGTGCACTATTGGTAGTAATGGAGGAGGATGGAAAGTTACATTGGATAATAATATCTTTGTTGAGATTTTAAATGATTGATTGATTTCCTGTTTATCTCTCAGTTGAACTCATGATGAGGACAGGTGCGTGAGAGGAATGTTCACAGAAAGAGGACATAAAGAGCACACTTACCACTGCTGAACTTCCTTCTCAGTGACTGCAAAACAAGACAGAGTACAGAAGACAGTAAGATTTTGTTCAAACTACAGATGCAAGTGTGTTAAAACTTTCCATGCTAGTCTAGACTGGTTTGTGCTAGGTAATGCTGGTTTGGTGCTGGTCTAGCTGATGGACCAATGTAACCACTAAGGGTTGAATGGAGAATTAAATTTGAAATGAGGTGAGTAACAGAATGCTGAAGTAGAATTAGAATTTAAGTTGAATTTAAGGAAGTTGGGAGGAAAAATTACTTTAGATTAAATAAATGTGTAGAACTGTGAAGTGTAATTTTTTAACAAGAAAAAGAACGTTTGTCAAGACAAACTTTGAATGGTTTGGCATATCCTAATTTTGAAGGTTTCAAAAAAAAAGTTGAGGTGTGAAAATCCTTTAATAATTCATAAATAACTCCCAGAGTGAATTATTTAACCAGCATTTATTGGCATGAGGCATGGAATATACATGCTTGATTCTGGCAGACGAGATCTGCTATGCTGCTGCTACTGAGAAAATACAAGAATTTGTTCAGCTTAGTTAAAATAACATACATACATGCTGCTAAAAGGATATATAAAAAAACGTAGCAGATCTCTACAGGTGGTGCTGGAACTTAAACAGAAGTTTTCATAATCGCACAGCAGGGCGATCGCAGGCTGTGGTACAACATATATAGTTTCACGAGTTCACACTTACATACAATTAAAGGGAATAAAGTATATTGCGTATTTGGCGTGCTGTCCGGGGGGAGGGCTCCGAGCTCGGAATTCGGCCCGAACCCAGAGTACTCCCCCCTGTATGTATGTAAAAGTGGTTTAGGACTAGAAGAGTGGAGAAGGGGTGGTGGAGGGACGCTGCTAAACTGTCAGAGAAATGAGGTGAGACTGCTGAGTCTATATATAGGCCTACACGTTTTAATCATGATTGGCGAGTGCTCTCCACCCGTGTTAATTATCTGAACGTGCTTCTCCCGAACTTTGTTAATAAAACATCATTACGTGGCTCAAAAAGTACATGTGGTTGGCTAATGCCACAGCTTTAAAAGAACCAACCAGCACTTGGTTAGAGTTTCATGACTGAACTATGTATACTGCTCAAAAGTTTGGGGTATGTATGATCTTTTAAATGTTTTTAAAATAAATCTTTTATGCTCACCAAGGCATTTATTTGATAAAAAAAAAACAGTAAAGAGTTGTATTGAGAAATATTATTACAATTTAAAATAACTTTTCTATCTTAACATATTTTATTCCTGTGATAGCTGTCACGGATGGAACATGAAATAGTGTTTCTAAGTTTCTAAGTGAAATAGTGTTTATTAACAGGATTGCAGAAGCAGACAGAGATATGGTGAGTATTCAGACAGTTGATTATCAGATGGGAACTTAACTGAAGGATAACTAGAGTCTCTGTTTCAGATGCAGATGGAGAGTCACACGGAAGGGTTGAAGACGGACGGCTGAAGACTGGAGATGACATACAATGACAAGGGTGTTGAAGGTAGTCCAATGGATAGCAGGTAAGCATGGGTGAGACTGTGTATCATGTAAAGACCAGACAATGAGTGTGTGAAGGAGAGTCGAATATAAAGGAGGTGGAGTGATGAGGTGCAGGTGATGATGGTGATCAGAACTCAGGGGACAATGACCGAGTGGGAGGAGTGAGTGAAGCTGGTGGAATCCTGACAATAGCAATGCAGATTTGCTGTTTAAGAAACATTCCTTATCATTATCAATGTTGAAAACAGTTGTGCAGCTTAACATTTTTATGAAACCAGTCATACTTTTGTTTTATTCTTTGATGAATAGAAAGTTCAAAAGAACAGCATTTGAAATAGAAATCATTTATAAAGTTACTAATGTAAACGTCTTAAATGTCACTTTTGATCAATTTAATACATCCTTGTTGAATAAAAGTATTAATTTCTTTAAAGACAGACAAACTTTAGTGAATTATTGGCATTGCATTTATAGTAGATACCATATTGCTGCTGAGAAGCTGAATGGAGACAGGGAAACGTGGAAACCTGACAGGAGAACTGCTATATCTGTCTCTCACAGCTTAGAGGCAGACTGCCATGCCAACACAACTAACATCAGGCCTGTCACTACACTGTCACTATTTGACAGCCCCTGAGCCATCGCAGAGAGAGCTTTTTCACAAAGATTTATGCCTCATACATACGCATAAGCAGACATACACTTTAAGACTGCTACAGTAAGTGGACCAATAAATGAAATGTAAAATTATACATTATATTTATTCGTTTAGCACTTTTATCAGGTGAAATTAGAGGCCCTTTAAACATTGTTGCATTCCATCTGAACTTTTTTGTACACACACGCTAGACTAGACAGGTGTGTTTGGCATTTGCATCTCGGTGTATCTAAATCAACTTCGTAATAAGCACAGAGCTCTTATGTTTAAGACTTTGAACAACGTGCCTCGAGATGCCACAGTAAGATGATACACTAGAGGATGATGCAACACTTTTGCATTTACTGACCTGATATAATATCAATATGTCATTGGCTCAGATAGTCATTGCAGTTTGTGTTTACATCTTATTACTCTTGAGTACTGTGTGCAACTGTCTACACACACACACACACACACACACACACACACACACCCCTCATTGTCTGGGGCAGGAATGTAGTCGTTACCAAGATTAGTGATGTGCATCAATGTAGAGCGAAAGGTTGAGAGGGGGAAAAAAAGAAATGGGGAATTAAATAAATTGTATGAAGATATTTAAGATTGGATCAGCATTTCTTTGATTATGGATGAGAAGAAAGATAATTGTTGAAAAAGGTCTATGACACAACCAGGCCTTGAGGAGTGAGAGCCCTAGCTGAAATATTATAATAAATGTATAAAGGAATGAAATATTTACATTACTAAAGGATAAATGTAACCAGTGGGTATGACAAAAAGATGTCTGGACAGGGAGAGGAGAGGGCAGAGGGCACTTGGTAACACAGGTGTGTCTCATCAGCGCTCATGACCCAACATGACTCCAACCAATACATCCAATGCATCTGCTACAACAAAGAACAACAGAGAGAGAGAGAAAACAGAAGAAAAACATCCTTCTCCATCAAACATTTTATTAATAAGATACTCAATATAAGATACTACAATCTCACAAACCATTATAACCCAGCCCATAACAAACGACAAAACATCTCATCTAATCTGCCCGTCACGCCGAAGGGCAATTTTACTCATTCTACAATGCCTCTCCCCCTCACTGTCAGCTATCATGGGCCATGGCAGCAAATTAAGACCAGTAAAGAGCAAGACAAGAGTAAAAGACAGAGACAGGCGAAGAATAATGAACAATTGCAATTAGGGGTGTAACGGTACACAAAAATCACGGTTCGGTACGTACCTCGGTTTTAAAGTCACGGTTCGGTACGTTTTCGATACAGCAAAAAGTAAGAAATGCCAGAGAAATTTCCTATTTGTTAAAAGAAAAAATATTTTTTAAATAAGTGAGTTTTCCTACATCTTGAAACTTTCAGGTTTATAAATGGGGGTCATCTTTGAAGGATGAACAAATAATGTTTTGGTCATCACATTAAAAATAACATTTAAATATACGAAGAGTTTAGATGCAAAAGCCATTTGAAATTTTCTTCTAGAATGATCATTTTTATCAAGCTTGTATATTTAAGTTCAGTAATTTCACTTAAATGGCAATGAAGATTGCCTATTAATTGTCATTTGAGTGAAATTACTGAACTTAAATGTACAAGCTTCATAAAAATGATCATTCTAGAAAATTTCAAATGGCACTTATAGAGGCTTTTGCATCTGAACTCTTCATATAGGCTATTTATTTATATAATATTTGAGTTTTGAAGTGCTGGACAAAGATGTGTGAAGTACTTGAAAGCATTTCACTATTCCAGCCAAACTGGTTATATTTAGTGTTACTATATTAAATCCATGGTGAATGTTGCTGGTCTGTGGACGTAATAATATTAGTTCATTCACAGCACAATATTTCTCCTGGTGTCCACGTCAGCGCTGTCTGATCTAATAGAGATCTACGGTAATAACGGAGAAATGTGAATGCTTCTCACTAGATCTCGCAGCGATGTTATTACTTCAGTGGCGAACTCAAATGTTTTCTTTACTGGATCTCTTAGCGCTGTGTTGTAACGGTTGTAACAGTGTCGCTTGATCGAGATCGGCTCCCGCTGCACAGATGTTGCTGCTCTGCTCCGAACTGATAAACGATCCGTGAAGCACAATAGCGCAGTTTCGTTCCGCTTTCATTACGCTTGCCATTTGATGTTGCGCAACGTTGTGTCGGTCGCGCCAGCGCGAATTTTGTCGGTAGGAAAAATGGTCCAAGGAATCGTTCGGTTTGTATGCGTACCGAACCGGAAGCCTCGAACCGAAACGGTTCAATACGAATACATGTACCGTTACACCCCTAATTGCAATGCAATTGGCCTTGGGAGCCAATGCACTGTCAGAGCCATTTATAGGTCTCATAATGTCAACTCAAATGATTGCAAGACACACCAGCATGTAATGGCGCTTTTCCACTGCTGGTACGGCTCAGTACGGTTCGGCTCGGCGCGGCACGGTTCGGCTCGCTTCGCTTTTCCACTGCTTGGTACGACTCGGCTCAGCACGGCGCGGCTCGGTTTAGCTCGGTTTGCTTTTCCACTGCAGTTAGTAGGCCTACCGCTTCAAAGTGGGTGGGATTATAGTCGGACCGTTATAGTTTATCCCAGAGCCGTTGAAAAAACAGAGTTGCGACACTCCCATAGACCGCCATAGGAACTTTGGAATGCGGAAGTAACGCGTGTCGTGGAGCAGCCGATAGTTCCATACAACTGATAGTTCCAGCACTGAACCCCATTCATTTTCAGTGTTTCCGAAGTACGCTCTCTGGTAATTTCATGAAATGACTATTTTTTATATTTGAACGCATTAGCCGTGCTCTCATGAGTCTAGTCAGTAGTTGTAATTTATGTAGCC